CGTCTAAAGACGCCCGCTCAGATCTAGAGAGCTCCTGACCGGCCGTTTTTTTACTACAGCCGGCCCGGAGGCAGTTAAGGTTATGTCTTACTTAAACCTGCAAGAGTTAGATTGGAGCACAATAATTGTACACATCAAGGGTGTAAAATTATTGAAATAATCTGACACATGCCTACTGATACAAGATAAACACTGGCTCTTGTAAGACGGATAATTATTAGTTTTAATGAAGTAGTTGGCTTGACAACCATACATTGTGCTGACACAATGCACGGCAAGACCCATCGATTCCACACTGGGTGCTTTCTGGACTCTGTTCTGGTAAAAGTCTCTAATCACAGTGTTGAGGAAGCATCTCTTTGATCTTGCTCCCTTTTGGAAAGAGCCACATGGAACTTTAATATTAGATCCGTTCCTGCTGCCTGCCTAGAGTGACTTTGGTCACCTCCAGCCATCTGACCGTCGCCTACCAGCTGAACATCCCTACTCTTCAGCAACAAATACCAAATTGAAGAAACCATTAGGGGAAGTTCACATTACTATAAAATGCTGCATCTGGCTGCGATTGTTTTTATTTTTGTAAAATGTATGGCTTATATGGCTTATATGTGTTATGTACCATTTTTCAGGCTGCCGTTCACATTTGTCACAAGAGAAGTTGCTGAGGCCACGTGTGAATGCCTTCTTGCTCAGGCAGAGCAGGGAGAGAAGCTCTCGAAATCCCAAGCTGCCACAGAGAGGATGATCCTAGAAGAGTTTGGACGTTGCCTAATGAGTGTTATTAACTCTGCAGGAAAAGCAAAAAGCGACCCTTGTACTATGAGCTGTTAAGTGTGGCAGAATGGCTAGCATGAGTGATCAGAAATTGTGACTGCATGGGAGAGAGGTCTATAAGATAATGTACAAAGAATACACTGCCACACAATCCTTCATTTTTCACTTTCCATCCATATACAGTATGTGCCAGAATTCCTGTGTGTTTTGTATGTGGCAACTTTCAATGTGCTTTGCAACAAAAGTGAGATTTTATGGTAAACCATTCGTTTTTAAATCTAGCATTCATCTCTCACCCCTAAATTATTGATGACGACACCCAGTGGTGAATCCTTTTTATTGTAAGTCACAAGCTTATATACTCGTTTGAACAAGTGTTTTTTCTGCTTGGTTTTTCTTTTGAATTCAAGGAAGTTTTTGGTTTGATGAGATGGATATGTGACGTGGATTGCTGTGATCTTTGCAATCACTGGATCTTCTTTGTAATAAACATCAGGTCTTAGAATACATTATGAAGGCTGATGCAGAATGTCATGAATGTTATGTCTGATCAGGTAGAATATAGCATAGATGTAGATAACTAGCAGGCACTGGTTTTCCATTTTATGTGTACTAGGGTGGAACCATACAGAGAAGTGGATATAACTATGTCTGACCCTTATCTAGTGTTAGGCAAACCTAGTGCCAGGGGCAATAGTATACTATCTTGCAGAATTTATTGTTTTTGAAATGTATGCATTGTGCCTTCTGCGCTGTTAAATATTACAGAACGTTATGTTTTCATATTTATAATCAGATTATGTAAGCTATAATACAGTACGGAAGTTTGGGAGCATGATTTAAGCTGGTGGTTTATTATGGCTTTAGATTCATAGTCCTATGACTTAAAGCTGTAAACCCCAATTATTCTCTTGTATCATTTGAGAAGAAATATATCTAAAATCCATTAGCATCTACTTATATAATATGTTGACGTTTCCATGATGTTAACATTTATTAGACAGTTTTAAGGCTCAATTACCACCATTTTTGGTACCCCAAGCTTACTGGCTAGGTGAAGGCAAATTGTGTTTGAACCACAATGCTTTACCCTGGCGGTGCATCTTAAGATTGTTTCAGTCCTAAAGTAAAGAAGCAGCTTTCTGTTGGGACATTTCATATGGAGTATGATAGTTGGCCCTGTGGTGATTTGGGTTTGGTTAACTGCCTAAGAAAACGCATAAATGATATACAATAAGCAGTAAGTGTGAATTGTGGTGTCACCACTGCATAAAGTTTATATATATATA